TCGAAGAAGATTCTTGGAATGGACTTGAGGGATAGAAAGGCTAGCATATTGTATTTGAGTCAGAAATGGTACATTGAAAAGGTGCTTGAAAGATTCAATATGGTGAAAGTTAAGACTGTGAGTACTCACTTGGCTGCCCACTTCAAATTATCATCGAACTTGTGTCCATAGTCAGATGAACACATTGATTATATGTCTCGAGTTCCTTACTCCAGTGCAGTTGGTTTACTTATGTATACTATGGTTTGTACAAGACCTGATTTGGTACAGGCAGTTAGTGCAGTTAACAGATACATGACTAATCCTAGCAAAGAACATTGGAAAACAGTGCAGTGGATCTTCAGATACTTAAGGGGCTGTTCAAATGCTTGTTTTCATTTTGGTAGAAATTCAAATGGAGTCATCGATTATGTGGATTCATATTATGCAGGGGATCTTAATAAGAGGAGATCTCTTACAAGGTATGTGTTTACTCTTGGAAGCTGTTCTATCAATTGGAAAGCTATTTTTCAAAATACAGTGGATTTATCTTTAACAGAAGCATAATACATGGCCATTACAGAGGCATGTAAGGAGGCTATGTGGCTAAAAGGATTGATTGGTGAAATCAGTGAAGACTTGCAGATATCTACAATATTCTGTGATAGTCAGAGTGCAATTTTCTTGACTAAAGATCAGATGTTTCACAAGAGGACTAAGCACATTGATGTAGGGTATCATTTTGTGAGTGATGTAATTGCTCGTGGTGATATTGTAATGAGCAAGGTTGATACCAAGGATAATCCTGCTAATATAATGACAAAACCACTTCCCATTTCTAAGTTTGAGCACTGTTTGAACTTAATTGGTNGCGGCTCCCCGTTAGCGTAATTTTATGCAGTTTCCTGGTTTTATTAGGTCTTCTTCTCCATCTTGGACTCCAATAAGAGGTTATATATATATAGCCATATTGTATTTCCATAATATATTATTCGTATCTTATTCTTTACATCTTCAACAACATATTGAGAGATTGAGAGTTTAGATTCCAATTGAGATTATTGAAATCTTGATATTGTAAATACAAAACTATTGATTATAGTGGATTGTTCTCCTCTGCCCATAGTTTTTTCCCGAATTGGGTTTCCACGTAAATTCTTGTGTTCTTGTTTTTTTTTTTCTTTATTTCATTATTTTCATTATCTTGCGATCTGTTTCATAACATAGATTTTCGGAGATCTTCCCTTCGAATGTGAGCATATGCTTGCTCAATTGAAGGAAAAGGTTTCAGGCGTAGAACATCACCCTAAACATAATCCAGTCGATCATCTAGTCCGTCGAGAAAAGTGGATATCGCTTCTCCTATAGAATGGAGTTCTAGCTTTGTATGTCAGTTGCACATCCTATTGGATTTGGACGACGAAAATCGATCTCTCCCACAAACCCTGTAGATCGTTATAGTATTTTTCTATAGATCCGCCTACTTGTTTCATTTGAGATACACGACGTCTAAGCCCGTATACATGTGAGGTGTCAGTTCCATCAACGTATGTTGTGGCAGCAGAATCCCATACCTGCTTGGTCGTTAGGTAGAGAATAAAGTTCACGACCAAGGATTGGTCCATGGAGTTGATCAACCAGCCTTTCACCATGGCATTCTCAATGTGCCACTTACGAAATGACGGGTTGGTTTCTTGTGGTTGGGGTAGTCTCCATTGATGTATCCCACTTTGTCTTTTCCAGAAATGTACATCTCAACAACCTGGGACCATAATCCATAGTTGGAACCATCCAACTTGATGCCATTGGAACCATCAGGGAATCAGTGATGGGTAAAGGAGAAGGAGAAGGAGAGGTCTGGACCCTTGTTAAGACCTCCGTCATTTTTTATGTCAGATTATCAAGGATGGTTTCGGTGGTGTCAGCCATGGATGCCAAGCAAAATCTGGCCCATGCTTGATCAAAAAACAGGGAACCCAAGATCATGCTCTAATACCATGTCAAACGTAATTTTTCTTTATATTTATTCCATAATACAGAGTACAAGATATATAGATACAAGAAACTATTTTAGGAAGCTATTCTTCGTCTATACAATATTTATGGCTACAATCGTGTTTGACCCTTGAGTGAATGGATTCCTATATCTAAGATTTCCATAGCTGGGTAATTGCGTGACTCACGTCAACAGTATTCTTTTAGGCGCAACAAGTGGTAATGATGATCGATTATCCTACCATACAAATCTTACACTTACTAGATACCACTAGCAGACTTTTGAAATGGGCCATTGAGTTATTAGACTTCGACATATAGTTCAAGCAAACTTTCCACTATTGAAGTGTCAACAGACATATATTCAAAGAACCTTATTTTAGGTTTTCCCTACCACATCAGTAGTGGGGAATTTTTATCATTAATTCTAATAGTTCAAGTTGAGGACTGTCATAAAAGTCTAAGCATTAGCAGATTTCATAGGAGAATTGACCCCAATTGATGGACCTCGAGAATGAGTGGTTTACATGGATGAGTCATCCAATAAGGATTGGTCAGGGACAGAGATCATTTTGATAGGATCAAGCTCAAAGGAAACTGAGTATACTTCAATTTTCCAATTTCAAGTGACTAAGAATGACACAAAATATGAAGTAGTCATAGCTTGGCTAATTCTAACTTATCAAATTTGGGGTTTCCTCAATAGAGGTCTGAAGGGATCCATAGCTAATAATGGAACACTTAAAAATGGAATAGGAAGCAAATGATGTTGCATAGCATCTTATTTGATGGAAGTAAAGAATTTAAATAGAAATGTGTATAAAATATTTTTAGAATAGCTGACAATAAGACTTTAATCTTGTCTAAGGTTTAGTTGTACGCATTTTGGTTTAGACTCAAAATGAATTTGTAAAAGTTAGAAAAGATTTCCGTTCCACTTTAGAGGCTTATGTGCACACCCTGTTCTTATAATCGTAATATTTTTATCCTTTCACCTAAACATGTAGGTGTTCTCTCTACTCCCTATCTACGACATCCACATCAAACTACTACAATCTGTCCAATAGAATATGACATGAATCATCACAACAACATCACAAATAAATTCTGATTTATAAAAGGTCCCCATGGACAAAAATACTTTACAAAATAGAGTCACCTAATTAGATGTGCCCTTTCTTATTCAACCAATCTGATAAGGAGTTGGATGTGATTCGATTGGCAGCTTCAGATGATCCACCAATTACTTGGCGATCAGATTTTCACATCTACAACTATCTATGATCTGACTGTAAACAACATTACTAACTTGACACTTGACTCGAAAGGTCTTCCCAAGCTAAGTCAACTCTTCTTGCTTAGGTGTCCATAAAATTTTCTACACAACATACACAAAGTCTCCTTGTTCTTCTCCACAGACTTCATCGATGCACTCTTCCTCTTCACCTAAAACACTTCCCTAACAATAGGTGTTGTATACGGAATGTTTGTTGCTCTACCATTCAATTTTCCTCCGGTATAGCCCATTTTGGTCCTACTTCATTGTTGACTGCAGATAGTTAAATCTCAATCTTGGGTGGAAGCGACCTTTCTGGTGCTCTACATGTACTAATCTCTATTCCTGCTATGCGAGTAAAAGTTACGCCACATGTACATAATTGGGTTACAAAGTTAATTGACAAAATAACATCTACACCAATCATTTTATAAACAGATTTTTAAATTATTTGAAGTCAACGGTGTGAATTTTGCCAACACATTTTGTAACCCAACTTTTGTAACTCAACTTTGTACAAATAGTTTTATTGATGCGAGTAATGATTCAGCTCAAAACTCAATATCACTATCGTCTATCAATGAATAAATGGGCTGGATCCCCATTTGTACTAAATTTCATACTTCAATCCCCTTACAGACCCTATCAGTTGATTACGAGCCTCCCTTACATCACAACAAGATTGTAGCATCAAGAACTCCTCAATATAGACAGCCCCTGAACTATTTCCTTGTCTACAGTCCAAAAACTTTCGGTACAATGCTTGCATATACTCTAGGAAGAAATCGTTGCTGCAACGATTCTTTAGTCATGATCCAGTCCTTATGAGTGACTGTCTCAACCTATAACATTCATCATATACAATTTGACGCCACACTTCTTCTACTCCCTTAAGTTTGCATGCAATAATTACAACCTCACGTTCTTCAATAACCTTTATGATTTCAAAAAACCTCTCTCATTTAATCAGTCAAGGAAGGCATCTAGACTCCCATTGAAAATAAGAATCGCTACATTGACTTTATAACCATCATAATCATCAAGATGTCCATGATAATGAACTGAAACCGAATTTACAGGGGTAGCAACATGAACATGGGCAAAGGTGGTTGTTGCCCAGGAATATCATTTACAAAATTCAAGGAATCCAGTACGTCCTAGAGTATTTCTTGTAGGACTCTTATCATCTCAAACCTCACCTCAAAAGCCTTATTCTGATCGTCTACCAAGCTCTGATACTACTGACGTAAGACAAAACTGTGAATAATAATAATAATAAAAGGGTTTTGTTCATATCACAAGAACAAGTGTTGTACGAATTTAGCTCGAACGGATGTGAGAAATACTGGAATTAATCAGAGATCGAAAAATTGAAATATCGTTAATCAAAAAACAGATGTAGAGTTTTCAAACCCTTAACATGTATTTAAAGATTCAAAAGAAATTCTAATCAAATCTAAATCCTAATTGGACAAATTTGAATAAAAATAAAATACTACAGAAAAAAAAAAGACAGAAAATATTTTTAAACTAACTCAAAATAAAAAAAATGCTAAACGGACCCCTAAACGATTTTGACCCCCCGAAAGTTTAACGATGTTGGTTGAAGGTCAATATTGTCACTCAACAAAAATGTGCAGAATCAATTCAAATTATATTTGCTCACAAAAATTTGACAGTGATATGAAAGTTAACCGTTTTTTTCTTATATCCTTCTTATTTCTTCTCTTTTCTTACATCCTATCCATACTTATAAAGGACGCATAGAGAGCCACCGGTGGAACATCGCAAGACATTCTTTTGGCTTGTACTCTGATACTGTATGTCCTGCACCCTGCAACATAAAAACACACTTTCATTTCTTGTTTTTCTTCAAATCTTTGTGAGAAAGAGCAGAGTCAAAATTTTATTGCCTTGACTGTTACAAATGTGAGATAGAAGTCATTGTTCTTGTACTTCTCTGTGTATCTACAAGGGGTAAAGTATATTTCATTTTGAGAATAATTCCATGCAAAATATATATATGTGATATGATCAAGAACTCGAAACCAACCCCGCGACTTGGCCATTAACATGCCAAGGTCTCCAGTTGTCTACGACGGTCAGATTGAGCATACGAATCCATTTTAAAGTACCAATATAAGGAGCAATCATGTCATGATCACCACTGAAAAGAAAAGAAGCATAATTAGACAGTATATATCGAACTTACATATTTGGTCCATACCTGATCCCGCTTTGTACTCGAAAATCGATTTTTTGTCTTCAAAAAGTGGGATCCTTTCTCAATTAAATAAACATGATTGGCAGAGACATTATAACAGCAAGGACATCGAGCCTCCATTTTCTTCAACCATTATTTGGTCAAAAGATAATGTTGCCCTTGATTCATGATAAGGGCAAAAATATCTTCACTATAAGGGTAAATATGTCTTCCAAGGGGAGTTCTAAACTGCAAATGGAGGAATTAAGAAGTTCATCTCGTCAGGCTCATTAATCGGTCTAAAATATCTGCAGATTGTTTTAATATATAACCCCCACTTTCAAATTATCTAAACCAAACAAACGATTGATATATAAGTTACATTTTCTGCTTAAAGAATTCTATTTAAGCAACAGAAATATTTTAGCTCATGGATGGGACAACTTAGAACAAGTCACAAGACTTACCTAGTTATTAAAACTTCATATCCTTTCTTGCTGAATATTCTATGATATTGAAGAACATTTTCTACATTCCTTTCATAGGATATGCTCTCATTGCATCGTTTCCACTCTGTTATGGTACCCTGGTGATCAATTATAACATTGCACCAAATATTTTGATCAAATGCACTATTTTGGTTTTTGTTGATAGCTAGTACATGGTAATACTTACTAAATCTATAATATTTTTCTAGTTAACGTACCTTTCTTATATGAAGAGCTTCTTGGACAGTCGGATCATTCGCCCAAACAAAAGATGTAATAAGATTTTGGCTCCGCATAAAAGAAGCCAGTTGAGAAACTCAGCACAGTTGGCTAAGATAA